TGTGTGTGTGTGTCCTTCCTCTCACACCCCCACCCTCTCTCTCTCCCCAGAATGGTGAGCTACAGACTCCTGTACTTTGACCAGACGGGTAGAGGAGAGATCCTGCGCTTTCTCTTCGCCCTGGGCGGCCAAAAGTATGAAGACGTGATTATCTCACAGGAGAGCTGGCCAAAGTTCAAGCAAAGTGAGTACATATATACTGGTCGTCTCTGTGTGCGTGCGTTTGTTTGTTTGTTTGTTGCTTGATTGTTGGTTTGTTTGTTTTTTTGTTTGTTGCTTGTTTGTTTGTGTGTTGTTGTTTTTTTACTTGCTTGTTTGTTTGTTATTTTATTTTTTGTTTATTTTTGTTGTTTGTTTTTTTACTCGTTTGTTTTTTGTTTTGTTTGTTTGTTTGTTTGTGTGTTGTTTGTTATCTTTTTTACTCGTTTGTTTGTTTGTTTGTTTACTCCTTTGTTTCTGTTTGTTTGTTTGTTTGTTGATTTGTTTGTTTGCTTGTGATCACGGAGCGTCATTTTTGTTTTTTTAATGGTTTAAACATGACCTATTTTGTCTTTCTTGTAAGGTTTTTATTGCATCATCGACACAATTTAGGTCATTTAGGAAGCGCGCTTCCCATACTGTTTGTGTGTGCCAGCCCGGGCTGAGAGGGATACAGCATCCCACCAGAAACACAAAGACTAATAAATTGGTCCTCACTCGGGATCAATCTCTAGTCTGCAGCACGTGACAGCAAAGTGCCTGATCGCTACACCACAGACGTCCCTTTGTGTTTATGTGCTTCATTGACGGAGAAGTCAAAAAAAAAAAAAAAGGAACAAATAAAAAAACAAACAAAATAAAACAACCAATCAAAAAACAAACAAACAATCAATCGGAAAACAAAAAATAACAACCAGCCAATAAAAAGAAACAAACAAACAACCAGTCAAAATTAAAACAAACATGAACCCCCAAAAACCTCACAAACAATCAATAAAAAAACAAACAAACAACCAATCATAAAACAGACAAATAACCAAGCAAACATTGTCTCTCTCCCCAGCGGTCCCGTTCGGTGTTCTGCCAGTGTTGGAGATAGACGGAAAACGCTACTCCCAGAGTGTCGCCCTGGCCGTCTATCTCGCCAAACAGTTCGGTGAGTAAACATGGTTGTTGTACACACACACACACACACACACA